TAATCATGAAGAAATGGATTTCGATCGCATTACTTGAAGAATGGATTCTTGAGCTACTACTTGGAGTTAGAATAGATTGTTAAGAAATATGAAATAACATAGTTTTTCAATTGAATTACATTGTAAGGACAAATTTTTCCGCAATAAAATAAATTTTGATTTTATCTTATTTATTAAATCCTTGCAATGGCATGTATGAAAAATTGATGTTTGAATGTTTCTATTATTAGAAATAATGGATTTGATTCTTAATTGTATTATTTGTGGAAGTGTCAAGAGTTTACCAAGTAAGGAGAGTTTCTCATCGCCCAAGTTTCAATTGGACAGAAACTTGGAATCATGCAATGTGTATTGTATGATGAATGGAAAACTTTCACATTTGGGAAACTTAGACAATTCTTTGGCAAAGTGTCAGTTGAAAGACTAGGAGATCAAGTACACTAGGTGTGCGTTGATCAAGTCCACCACAAGAGTGACAAAGATATTCGTCATGATTTCCTAAAGTTTAGTAAATGTGATTATACTTATAAGATTAAGTGTAATTCTGAGATTGATTGAAAGAGTTTCAATGAATAGTAGAACGAATAAAGAAGAATCAAGTAGGCAGAAAGATAAAAGTTTCTCTTTTCTAGAAAGAAGGGAGAGTACCTTTTATTGTGTTTTATGATAAGTCTTAAAGATTAAGAACCATGTCTCAATAGATCCTCTAAGTGAGTCTTAGTGCAATTGCATGTCTAAGAAGAGGAATCAAGTATTGTAGAAATGGTTAAATCAAGAAGTCAATCATACTTCGTTCCGATATCAAGTCTTAAATTCAAAATTGTGACATTGAGTAAAAAGTTTTAAGTAGGTTTATAACACTCATCAAATATGGAACTTGGAAAAGTTTTCTCATTCTTGTACATTTGAGATTAGTAAGTTGTGATGTCTTGGATAAGACAAAGACCAACTAGGACCAACTTGTGAAGTGTTCTTGTCTTGATAATACCTGCACTGACTCTTGAATATTTGATTGTCAAGAAATGTTTCTTGACAAAGAGAATCATATAGGTCAAGAGGTCAGTGGGAGTTTTAATGTTTTGAAAAAGTTTCAAGAACAAATCAAATAAACCTTATCGATCATCACTAGCGCACGAGTTGAGGTTTACAACCTACCGTGTTGACATTATTTTGATTCTGTGCCAATCCAATCGAGTTAATTATGCATGTGAGTTCTATGAATTCTCATTTGAATGCATAAAAAGCAAGGACCTTGATCAATGAAAGTACATTGATAAGAAAGGGTGAGCTGCTTAACTACTTGGAAGACGTGGTGGGCAGCTGTGCTACCATAAGGCAAGAAATCAAGATTAAGAAAGGTCAGTCCATATGAGTTTGAATTTGTCATAAACTTTGGTTTTAACAAATTCACATGGATAGGAACAAATACACCATTTAAATCTAAGTGTCATAAGATTTCCTCCTTCATGAAAATGATTGTGAGGAAATGCTTTCACTGAGAAAGATTTTAAGAAGATAGCAATTGTGAAAATTGTATTCTCAAATTCGATTATGGTTACGGCATCCCTTTCCATAGTTCGAATTGTGAGATTTGGCAATCAGTTTCAACATTTGGAACTTAGTAACATAAGTTATGAATTGTTTAAACACACATATGAGCTATCTAAGGCAAAGGTGTATAAGGTTAAGAAGCTTAGATAAAGGCTTATCGAAGCATCTGGTATTAGAAATATGAATTTCAGAAATTCAATAGGCATTGTTTTCTGGAAGTTCATTTGTTTTCTGAATACATGTCAAAGCTAGTGGGAGCATAAATGTTATGCTTATATGATAATCATCATGACAGTGGGAGCATAAGTGTTATGCTTGTATGATTGTTATGGCGAGTATTGCAAGTTAGCAATATTAATTATAGAAAAACAAAGATTCCATTTGCAAAGTTGCATGGGTTGAAAAGTTGTTTTGCTATAATTAAGGGAGAGAATATTATACTCCGTTTCAAAATCTAAAGCTTAGATTAAGAAATTTTAATATTTTCAGTCAAAGGATACATTGTGTGTTCTTAAAATTCAATTATGATTACGGCATCCCTCTTCATAGTTCGAATTGTGAGAACATGACACATAAAATATTATGGCAAAAGATTGGTAAAGTATCATATCTTTATGTAAGACATTATGCATCGTGTCCCATACGCTTCGGGTATAGGATCGATTGTAAATGCTATAGTATTTTACCATTCTAAAATTTTCCAAATGTCTAGCGCATTAAGAGGGAAAAAGGAATAGAATTGGTTTTGACTGAAAGAATTTAACAACTATCAAAGGACGATCCAAAGTTCGCTGAGGATTGATCGCTTGTAAGTAGTTGGAAGTATGGTATTGGATGGACCATATCGACATTATTATGAATAGATAAGATTCTATTAAGAATGAGTTGTCATATGGAAAATGTGGAAATGTTTCCATATTGGGAGTTGGATATTGAGAGTATATGCCTAGATTAGAAACTTTTATGCAAGAAGGATGTTCAAAGGAATGTACTTTGAATGTGAGACTTCACATCTATGGAATTGTCTTGTAACAATTTCTAAGAAAGTACTTTGTAATTTCATTAGCTACGTCTTGGTGACTTTTGTGCTATGATTTTGCAAAGGGATCGTTGCATAAAATGTTAGAATCTAGCATATTCTAGTAGTGGCAAGAACCTTGTGTTCTTACACTAATAATTAGGATTAAGGAATTGTGAAATGAGCATCATTGGAAAAGTTTTCAGGTGATCTATTTCACAAAGCATGGACCATAGGAAACAAAGTGTGCATGTTTAGAGCATGGGACAATTGTTGGTATAATTCAAGTAATGAGTTGATTATCCGAAACATTAAATGATAAATAATGAGTAATCAATATGGTGGATAAATAGAAGGGTTTTATTTACTCTCACAAGTTTGGGGCCATATAGGATTAAGTATTGTTGTCATGTTTCAATTTGCATGTTTTGACTTCCAGAATAACTAGGTTATTCAAACATCCACAGTTGGTCATACGTTGGGAGTAGGTATGAATAAAGACTGTCATGAATCTGTCTGTAGATTGTCTGAAGTGTTTAGACATGGCACAAGTTTGCTGCAGAGTTCGTGAGTGCTTTGATAAGATTAAAGTATTGGATTAAACCCACGCTCACTTGGATCACTTCACGGTTTTATCACAATTGATTAGTGAGACGATAATATTGTATAAACCGAGACATGTGAGTTGTTATTTGTTGGTCGGTTGCACATTGATAATAAGTAAACGCACCAGTAACTTGGTGTTATAAAACTTATTGTTGTGTGTGATTTGATCAGTAAATGCAAGCGAGCATTTGAGTCGAAGTTTATCCATTCCTTTTACCCAAAGTGGGATAAAAGCGATATCTGTGGGCCTCTCGATGATTTAGTGATGACACCTAAGCGCTTGGCCAAGCCGGGACTAAGTTGATGTGTTCAATTGTAGTCTGTTATCAGTCGTCATGAATCGGAAGTCGGGAAACAGTATAGAGAGAATGATTGAAATTCATGTCTTATGTCTATACGATATCTTGAGAATGGAGGAATATATAATCCCTTATCTAGAAGGACACGCTATCTGATAAGATCAGAGTTGACAGCGGCTTTTGAAAGCTACGATTGCTGATCAGGTTCTGAAGTCATACGGAAAATAGTTATTAGACTTATCCAAGTGGGAGACTGTTGGATTAGTGTCTAAGTCCATAACTATTTTGGTATGTACTTGACCCGATTATGAGCATGGTCCTTTTGGGTTGCCTTCACTATAGCAATATGTAGGATGATTTAAGGAGAAAGGTTTAAATATGATTTATTAATATATTATGAGAATAATATATTAAAGGAGAAATCATATTGTTTAATTAATATTAGTCAAGAATTAATTAAGAATTAATTTTGTGGCTAAAAGAGATTAATTAAATATAGGGGACTGGACTGCAATTATTGGATAATTGAGTTATTGGGCTAAGGAATGCTATAGGAATAAGGGGTGAACGAAATTATGATGGAAGCCCATCATATTTTCGTCCATAGCCTTGTCCAGAAGGTTCCATGGGCTGCTTAGAGTTTAAGCTGTCCATTAGGGTTTTGACTGAAACCCTAGAAGCCCACACTAGTATATAAAGGACCCCTTAGGCCCCAAAAACGTAGACAACACTTCCATTAGGGTTTCCAGCCGTTTTTGGTGCCTCCTTTTCTTCTCCTCTTCATCCAAGTCGCATATGGTGTTTGTGACTCCATTAGAGGTACTACACTTGTGGTACTTGCTTTCAAGAGCTAAGGAAATTCAAGGAACTAGTTGTTATTGCTATATAACAACAAAAGGTATGTATTCTAGCTTTATATATGAATTTCGAAAATTATAGTAGCATGCCAGGTTTCTTTTTGTGTTCATAAAGTTGTATAACTAATAGTGAAAACATAGATCCAATACTAGGGTTGCATGCACACATAGGATTATTTGTATTAAACCCATCAAATACATGTACATAGATGGTATCTTGTTTGGTTTTCCCGTCGTTTTTTAGTTTGCAATTGTACACACATATAGCTATACATACATGCATATGTATACATACATATATAGATAGAAATGCATGTATGTATGCATATAGATACATGTATGTATGTATCTATGTGTGCCTCCTTGTCATTTTTTGGCTATTTGAAGACTTGGCCTCACAGGTGACCTTAATTACACCCCTTTTTGTCTACTAGACATTCTTATATATAACATATTCTTTTCAATTCAGGTATGTGTCACACTTGCTAGGAATGTTGGTGAGATGCGAACAGAACAAAGTTGCTTCCCCAATGTTGGGAGCAAGTGAGGATAAAAAGATTTCATTTTATTGTTTTATTGTTTTTTCATTTTATTTATTTATTTATTTTTATTTAATTTGATGCAGATTAGTCACATGTATGAGGAAGGCAAGCTGCTTGTAGCTCAATCATGTGTGGAGCTTGTAGGATTTGTGGAACTGAAGTCACCTTCTCTTGGTAAGTGGAAAAGTTTTTTATGCGATTATATATGTTGCAGATCAACCGAGTTGAATTTATTCATTGTAAATCATTTCTGCATAGGGATATAAAGCCAGACAACTTCCTTATTGGTTTAGGGAGGCGTGCTAATCAGGTTTCATTCCATAATTTGTTCCATATGTCCATTGTAGATTCTGTTTTTTATAGTTTTATACATAAAACATATATAAACCTACACGTTACAGGTCTATGCTATTGATTTCAGGCTAGCCAAGAAATATAGAGACTCTTCAACTCATCAGCACATTCCATATAGGTGAGTGAATTTTTTTTAAAACTTTCAGCAGCAATTTTTTATTCATAAAAAAGTGACCCCTAATCAATCTATATTTTATATCTTTCAAATTGCAGAGAGAACAAGAATTTGATAGGGACAACTAGATATGCAAACATGAACCCAAGCCTGATGAAACATAAGAGGTCAGTTTAATGTGAACTTATTGTATGCAAGCATTAATCCATCTTCTGAGCAATATTGGACAAGAAATATGTAGGATAATATAAGTGAACAGTTAATAAGTGGCATCATGCCTGAGCAATTAAGTCTTTACTATCGTGATCCTCAAGGGGAGATTCAGGGACCATTTCTTGGGGTAGACACCATATCATGGTTTAATCAAGGATTTTTCGGGGCAGATTTGCCAGTTTGAGTGGAACCTTGATATCTCAAGTTGTCGTATATATGGCATTTCTCGTAGATCATAAGGCCACCATCATTGATAAGCATCCAGGCATATTGGTCAGCTTCCTTTGCCAAAACAAATAAATGAAGAAAAAGTGTTAACAGAAATCAACAGTGACAAGGATGTCATGTGGATGGGTTTCACCTCTCAACATTAGTAAACTTGCTATGAAAGGAAGAGAACCCTTTTTTCTTCCTTGCACCCCAAAGGCAAGCCAATCAATCCTATTTTATTTACCATTTAGGATAGGGTATAAATATAATAAACAAAACAGATAAATGATTTTTTTTTCTGAAACAGGATGTATAGAACTTCTGAAAACGTGCAGTTGTTGGTAGAAGTAACATTGTTGGGTTACCAGTTTCAATACTTCTATTGAAGGAAGATGTAACAGTTACTGTTGTTCATCCGCGTACAGAGGATCTAGAAAGTATGATTCATGAGGCAGACATTTTTATTGCTGCTATTGGACAACCCATGATGGTAACCATAACCAAACTTATACAGTTTACATTTATACTTAATTCATTGCTTATAATGATTTTATTTATTTGGATTATAGGTTGGTTAGTTTACACTTTGGTTTGTTGAATTGTTTTATTATTATATAAAGGGTAGTTGGATAAAAGTGGGGTTGTGGTTATTGATGTGGGGACGAATGTGGTCAATGATGCTACCAGAAAATCAGGATATAGGCCTCTGGGTGATTTTGGCTTAACCCATTAAGTGATTCTGCATAGATTAAGTAAATTTTCAAGTTTTTTTTTTTTTTTTTCATATATTTATGACAAATTCTTGATTTAATTTAATCAATACATTTTTGGTTTTATAGCTTGAAGATGGGGACATTATCTGCTTCCAAAAACCTCTCAAGGGCGGAACTATAAAAAACCGCTATCAAGATGTTCCATTTTTTCTGGAATATGTTCATAATCATCAGGTATACTGTGAAACTTAAATTTATATTTTTTCACTTTTGCCCTTTTTATGTTTATGCATACGTATAATAAGTATATAACATATTCCGTGTATCTAGGTTGTACACTTTCGTTCACCCGAGAAACCAGAAGAGGATCAGTTCTCATTGGAACTATAAGTTTCCTAAGAATAAGATATTAATTTCACGGTGGTAAGCATTTTGTATTTTTTTTTTTTATTCTTTTGTATGTTCCTATTAATTAATAATAGTATGATATGATATGATCTGATTAATAAGTAAGTTTCTACTTGTTTATCAATCAATCCAATCATCACATATTCATACATAATTATAATTATGCTTATGTTTATTTTAATTTCAGGTTGCTGACTGAAATCCAGCTCAACGCCTTGGTGCCATAGGAGCTATACAGTTAACATTTTCTCTCTCCCTTTTATATATATATATATATATATATATATATATATATATATATATAAAGAAAAGGCAAAGAGGTAGGAAGTTAATTGATAAATAATGTGTGTGACTTATTAATGATAAAAAAAAAAGGTAAAGACGCACCATTTCTTTAAGAATATCCACTGGGACACAATTTGTCATCATAGAAGAAGACCCTGCTGTCTCACAAGGGTAATATTGCAATAAAGGCTGACATTGTTCTTAAGATGCACATTTATGAAAGTACGTTGTTATTCTCTGCATGATATGTTCACTTGTTTGATGACATTTATGTTTGTACAGACTCCAAAAAAGTAATGGTATTGAGCTTTTGCAGTCGTGTTGGAGCTTAAACTGCACAAACAAGTGATGGTTTGTACATACTCCAAAGAAGTAATGGTTTTGAGCTTTTACAGTCGTGTTGGAGCTTAAACTGCACAAACAAGTAATGGTTTTGAGCTTTTAAAAGTAGAATGTCCTAATAAAAATTAATTTTAAAAGTAGAATGAAAATGACAAGTGATTTTGAGTTGTATTTATAGGGTTGATGAAAGCGAATAGCCTTGGAGTTAGAAGTGGAAAAGAAAGCTCAAGCTGAAAGAGATAAGATGCTAAAAATGCAAGTGTTGCATTCTTCATTTTAAGTGTTAGTATGAAACATAGAGTAGATTAGATAGATGCAAAATTTTATATTGTAAGAAATAGAATTGTATGACATTAAATTTTATGCAATGGATTGTATTTTTTTGTATATGGTATTTTATTTCTATTATGACACATTAAATGCAAATTTAATTTAAAAATTCATAAAAACATAAATAGATACTTTTTAAATATTTAAATTTACGATACGCAAAAATGTGTGTCATTTTATTTATGACATGGCCTTTCTTGACAGGCATTGCGTGTCATTAACACGCGTGTCGTAAGGTTACGACACGCGAATGCGTGTCATCTTCCTTTATGACAGGGCCTTCCTTGATACGCATTGCGTGTCGTAAACGAGCGTCGTAATTGTGCGTCGTAAATGCGCGTCATCTATAGACGACGCGCAAAAGCGCGTCGTCTCTCTTTATGACAGGGCCTTCCTTGACGCGCATTTGCGCGTCGTCTAAGCCTTTTACGATGCGCAATGAGCGTCGTAAAAGGCTGTTTTTCTAGTAGTGAGTGGAAAATATAACCTAATTCGCCAGAAAAGTCTTCAATTCGGATTAAGATCCCATATTTATAGTTATCACAAAACAGGGGCAACTCGGCGAGTAGGTCACCCAACTCGTCGAGTAGGCGTGTAAAATCCATGTACGGCAAGGATTCTTGACTTTTCTTCGGGAACATTTTCATGAACTCGCCAAGTAGGTACGTGGACTCGCCGAGTAGGTGTGGGTTTTCCTTTTTCTTCATTCTTTGGTCTGTAATTGCTTTTCCTTATTCCTTTTTGCTTCCAAGCATGTCTTTTGGACTGAAAACACAATTTAAGCATTATTAAGTACCTTTTGTCCACATTATGCACATAATTAGCTAAAAATGAATAAAAATATATGCTAAACATATGACTAATTATGCAAATATCAAAATACCCCACACTTGACTTTTGCTTTCACCCAAACAAAACTGAATTTTAACACATTAGAATCACATAGGACAACTCCAATCGAACCCAACCATTATGCCAAGACCGCAACGCATGCATTTGTGTCTAAAATTTTCCTAATAACCCCCCATACTCTAAATACTCACAATCTTCATAAACATTCGCCCACTTTTTCCGAACAATGCTCATTTTATGCATCCCTCTGAATCCATCCGCAGAAAACCTCTTAACCTCAAGGTGTTTTTGGTTGAGCAACTCAAGCATACATAATCTAGACAATTACAATTTATGATACCATATTGGAGCTCTTTGGAATTCTTCACTTCTTTGACATTTGATGCTTTCACTATTGGCGTTGATCCTGGAAACAAGTCTATTCGAAACTCCACTTGTCTATCAGGGGGCAATCCAGGAAGATCTTTAGGAAAGACTTCCAGATAGTCACACACCACTGGTATTCTTAGTATCTTCTTATTCTCATTCCTTGCATCGACCACAAATGCCAAATATGATGTGCATCCTTTAAAAAAACATTTTCTAGATTTCATCAGGTAAATGATTCCAGAATTCACTCTACATTTGTCCCCATACACCATAAATGACTCTTTTCCAGGTGGGTTTACTCTTACCATCTTCTTCGTGCATAGCATATCAACATCGTTCGCACTAAACCAATCCATTCCCAGTAGGATGTCGAAACCATTCAACTCAATGGGCAATAACTCCTCGTGGAATTTATTCATGTTCAAGTCAATGACGATATTTCTAATGCAATCGCTAACATGTATGAATTTTCCACTGACAACTTCTACAACTAGAGCATTATAAAGTTTATCTACAAGCAATGTTAGTCTTCCACAAAATTTATGCGATATAAATGAGTAATTTGCTCCAGAGTCAAACAATATATTTGCAGGCAATCCATTTACAAGAAAGGTACCTGAAGTTTGAGTGACGATATGAGATAAAGTTTGAAACTTTATGGCTCACCTTGGTCCTTTGGTTACTCTATCTTCTGGATCAAAATAAATGAGTTTTGAGAGCTATGTTTGGGTTTTAGGTCCTTTTCCTATCATTTTGACCTAGTTGGGTGAAGGACATGCATGATGTAACACCTGGTTCCAGGTATGTATTTAACATATAATTTATTATATTTTATAGCACAAATTGACGAGTTAGGAGCCCCAACCTCGTCGAGTAGATATCATAAGGGCCGCATATTTTAAGTGACCTACTCGACGAGTTGGGAGGTCTCAACTCGTGAGTAGGCTGGCAGATATGAAACCCTAATTTATGGGGTTTGCACCCTATTTAAACACCTTAACCCCACGGTGTTGGCCTCATTTATAGCCTCCAAGTCCCTAACCCTAAATCTCGAAACCCTAAAGCTATCATGAGTTATTGTTAGCCATTCTAAGTGTTTTTGGTGTGTACTTGAAGCCATTAGAAGAAGGAAAAGTTTGAGGACATAAGAATGAGCTTATAGATCCAGAATCCTTGCCTCATCCACGACATTTTGCTAGTATAAAGCTTGAACCTTGCCTTATGGTTATTTAGATCTCCATTTTTTGGAGTTCCTTGCTTGTTTTTCGTCCAAATGATATGATTCCTTGGATTTGGATGTCCCAAGTAGAGAACACTTCAGATCTAGGGTCTTGAGGCGTTTTCATGGCATAAAAGTGCCAACTTTACGGCAATGGAAGTCTCATGCAACCTTTAGACCATCATTTTGGTCCTTTGAAGCTTCTAATGGCCATACATGAGGATAAAGTTTAAGGCTTTAGATGATCATTTAGTCCCTAGAGTCCAGATCTATGACCTCATGGTCGATCTTGTAGTGTTGGTTATTTTTGGATCAAGACCTTGGCCTTTTTGGGTTAGGGTTAGAGCTTATTTCTTCTAGAGTCAGTTTTAATGGGTAAAGTTGGAAACTTTATCCTTCTAGATGTATTTTCGGCCCAGATCTGGAATATGGGACTTGGATTTGAAGAATAATGACTTAATGCATTAAGAAGAGTTAACATACTGAAGAACTCGACGAGTTCATAGAGGAACTCGACGAGTTGAGCTGAAGTGTCCGATTCTGTTAAAAAGGAAGAACTCGACGAGTTGAGGGAGGACTTAACGAGTTGATTCGAAAAGACACGATTATGATATTTATGGGAACTCGGTGAGTTAAAGGATAACTCGATGAGTTGAGTCAACTCTGAGCGTTGACTCTGACTTGGACCTTGACTTTGACTCTGATGGTGACCATAGTTGAACCTAAAGGGATATGAGTATGAAATGGTATCTAAGAGGTTGTTTTGGTTCAGGGAGTGAGTAGAGTTGATTTCGGGGCTGAGACGTTTCAGCTATCATTCAACATTAGAGGTGAATTTTCCTTCTGTTTGAACGGGTCGATGACACTAATGTCGGCTCGTATTTATGAGTATATATATTTCAGACTAAAGTCTTATGTTGGGTAGTGCCCGATGTATGTTTATATGTTTTTCGGATAACGATCCAATGTTGGACGGTGCCCGAGTAATGTTTGTATGCTTGATGTCTTCGTGTTTCTTGCATGTGTCTGTATTCGTATGTTTCCAGATTACGGTCCGATGTCAGGTGATGCTCAAGGAATGTTTGTATGCTTTCTAGATTACGATCCAATGTCGGGCGAGTCCCTAGTAATGTTTATATGCTTATGTTATGTGATTATTCTATGTATATTAGTTGATATGTTTATATTTATACAAAGCTTTGCTCGATGCCGAGCGGGGCCTGATGGCGGACACTGTCTGATGCCGTGCGGGGACTAAATGAAGGGGTGGGGCCCACAATATGTTTATATGTGATTATATGATTATGTGTATGGTACGTGGTAGTTTGGGAAATTCACTAAGCTTCGTGCTTATAGTTTTCAGTTTTGGTTTTAGGTACTTTTGGTAGCAAAGGGAAGAGCTCGGGATGACTGCATTGCATACACCATGATGTTTTAGCCTAGGATGTTTACTATGATATATTTGACATATGTATTGATATGGATATACTGTTTATGATGTTTTTAGATACTATGACTTATGTTTGATGAGATGATTTTAATAGCTATGGTTTATTTATGATTTAAAAATGAAATTTTTGGGACC